TAAAACAAACTATGATATGTACAGTTCCAATTAGCAGAAATTTTAAGTTTTGTTCACTCTATGAGCGAACTTAAATTCTACTTTTCTGCCTGATCTATTTGTAGAGGCAGTTCCAAAATTAGAGCTTAGAGCTTCTGTTTTCTCATTCTTTCTGAAAGTGCACAGTTTAGTTTATCATGTTACGTAGTTATTGAAAAATCAACAGAGCTAAAATTATTGTACAATTGACAGAGTTATAAGGATATAAATTGAATTTTAGATCCTTTTTACACTTTCTTAATTAGTACCTTACTTCTATTTCTTTTCTTTGAAATAGCAGAAGGACAGTATGGTCTTCCCACCGAAATACTGGATGCAGTGACAACTTCATTCATTTTTAAGTTAGTTTCTCAAGTAAGCAAGTTCATGATGGTTCCCTGTTTCTTTTTATTAAATAAACTATGAATATCTAAGGCTTTAAAAGTGCATTTTTTAGTTCTATTGGCATCATTTTGTCTTCTTCATGTTCCATTCTACGTTACCCCTCTCCCCTGAGTAGTTGGCCTTTTGGATTTGGTTGGCTTGACAGGAACATGCTTTCGGTTAACTCGATTGCACATCATCTGAAAGTTGACTATCATTGAAAATTAAATCCTAATTAACCCTTTTTCTTATTTAGGCACAAAATTTGGAACTCAACTACCGTAACTAATTGACTTACTATATCAGATATAGATGTAGATCATTTCCTATTGAATTTAATATTAAAATAAGTAGAACATCTCCTGTTAATGGCAAACCCAATTTCGTGCTCTTACATTGCTTATTATTTGTTTCATGTTTTCAGCCCACCCCATCTTTGAAAACATACAATGCCATCTCATTCCCAACATATGTTTAGAGGGTGATAATTGTTCATTCAATTGCAATTTGTGGTCAAGTAAGAGTATATTTTTATATATTAATGTGGGGGAAGATCCTGGTTCCCAATATGTATAAGAACGGTTGCTTCTCATGTTAGCACACCCCTTCTATATATTGCTCCCATATGTCAAAGTACTTTGGTTCGTTTTTTTAAATGAACAGGGTGAACATCTAGAAGTGTAGTTGCTTTGTGATCAGCATGGTAATGTTGCTGCTTTGCATACCCGTGATGCACACAATAAGGATTACTTCTTCAAGAACAAATCTAAAATTGGTATATATTCATTATTAACTTGATCATGGGTACATTAGTTTGCTGGATCCAAAATACCCTAATGGTCTATCTTAATGGCTAGGCAAAAACGTAGCTGTAATAAGGATGCAAACAGCCAGAGTGTCTAAAGCTGTGCCACCACCAGATGCTAACGCAGAGTTGAGATCATCCTTATTCCTTCATTGGAAGTTGATGGGTAAACTAGACTTGATGGGTAAACCCTTCTTAGGAGAAGGGGGTATGTGGTAAATGATTGCTTCATTGGAAGTTGATGGTGTTGACTGATTTTATCATGGGCCAAAACACTCACTCTTAAAAAAGTGTTTAGTAAGTTGATGACGGTTTTGGTAAAAACATCAATAGAAAGAAACATAGGATAACCACTTTTAATATCAGTGCATTTTGGAAATTCAACCCTCACATTTTGAAAACATAGTTTTTACAACCAAATGGGACGGAGGGAGTATGTAGAACAAGCATACTCCCTCTGTTCTTTTTTATTAGTCCTTCTTTCCTTTTTGGGACGTTTTTTTTATTTGTCCTCCTTTCCCTTTAAGGAATGTTTTTGAGAAAATACCCCCACTATTATTACTTTTACCCCACTTATTTTTTACAAACTACTTTCTCTTTCCTACTTTACCATCACTTTACTCTTCTTAATACACTCTCTTTCCTACTTTATCATCACTTTACTCTTTTTAATATACCATCTTTCCTACCTTATCATTACCCTACACACTCTATACTTACCCTACTACTTTATTATTAAAACCCGTGCCAAATCCTAAGAGGACTAATAAATACTACCTCCGTCCCCTTAAGTTTGAGACAAGAGAAGGTGACACGGTTATTAATAAAAGTGAGTTTATGTGGTTGATATTGAATTGATAAAGTAAGAATAAAGTAAGAATGATTTAGAACCACACAAATTTTACCAAATAAAGTATGGGACAATCTTTGTGGGATAATGGACCGAAAAGGTAAAATGGGACAATCATAGCGGGACAGAGGGAGTAAGATTTTGATGTGATCTCAGGACAAATACATTTCATTTTGCTTGGTATTTAGAAGTCATAACTAGGGGTGGGAAAACGGGTCTTGGAACCGCGGTCCGGTCCGGGTAATGGCGGTTCGGGTCCAAAACGGGCCGGTTCCACTTTTTGTTGCAAGAAAACGGTCCGGGTAATTTATTTTTAAGACCCGGACAAGTTCTATATATACCCGGCCCGGCCCGTTATATATATACTGTAAAGTAATTTTTTAATACACTGGCCTCTGCCAAGTTAGTTTACTTAGCCCATTAGGTTGTGATTAAAACGTCTTGTTTACATTTATAAATAGTTGACTTTGTCCTTAGATATTACAAACTTTCTATGTTTACTGTTTAGCTGAAGTTTATAGCTGGGATAGTGCGACTTTAGCATACCTATATCGGTAGTTATTTCGAGGTTGCCATCGTGACGGTGGAGAGATGGGTAGGTTTTTATTGCTCATACAGCTATGGTCATGGGAGCACATTCATATCGGCAGACTTGTCATACTGCGATATCATGGGGTAGATGGTGGTCCTCTTGATGATGCTATGGATCAGCACGCTGTATTTGGGCCACATCATGTTCGTGGCGAGGATCCTTTGGGTCGTAGGTGTGTTTATGATTTTTTTTGTATGACGTACGTGAATCCCTTTTATATTCTTATACATTACTGTGTGTCAGATGGCTATTTACTCATGTCACGCGCACATCATCCGCTGCTGGATTAGGATACTACCGAGATGCTTTAGATCGCTTGTGTGATGATCAAGTATATCATTTATATCATTAAATGTAAGTACTTTGTGTTTTATGTTTTTATAAACCATGGTCTAACATAATTTTATATTATAGATGACGTGGATGCCGTACACTGATGAGATTCTAGGACATTTGCCTCATGTTGCCCGAGAGCACATTGAGATATGGCGAGCATGTGTGCCCTTGATATGTTTTGATGTAGTGGAGCATCACTTTCCTGATCGCGTACTACACCAGTTCGGGTTGCAGCAGGTTACTCCCGGACCTTGTGATACATCTGTGGATTTGCACAATATTGATAGACGGGGGAAGCACACTGAAGATTGGGGGATGCGCCATATTCAGTACTCCCTCCGTCCCGCTATGATTGTCCCATTTTACCATTTCGGTTCGTCCCACTAAGATTGTCACATACCTTATTAGGTAAAGTTTGTGTGGTTCTAAACCATTCATACTTTATTCTTACTTTATCAATTCAATACCAACCACATAAACCCACTTTTATTAATAACCGTGTCACCTTCTCTTATCCCAAACTTAGAGGGACGGAGGTAGTATATCACTATGTGGGATGAGAGAGCGGCGTATATAGTGGACGGGATCCCATCATTAGTCCCCACAACTTCTGTAGACTACATGAGATGGTATTACACCATCACACGGGTGTTTATCTCTCCCAGTTTTCGTTTACCCACTGATCATTACCAGCCTAGCTCAGTCGCTCTTCATATGACGGTAAACAATATAGTCAATAAAATAGCTTTATTTATTTATTCATGAGTTTTTCACCAATAACCATGTTTGCATTACAGACACAGGCTTTGCGTAGCATCCATGACAGAGCGACTGCTGTACTTGATGAGGCGGTAGATGTACAGGGATATCATGACGCTTGTTCAGGCATTGTTTCACTGTGCGCTGATGTATTGGGTCGAGTGGATTATGGATATATGGCCACCTCTCAGCATTCCACCGCATCTACATCTGCAGCAGGGTCTTCTCAGGCAGTCCGACGGGATAGAGTTGTTCTTCAGCCTCGTAACCAGCGCAGGCGTCCCCGAGCACAGCCACATGAACTTCATGATGATGATGACGTTGACTTATGATCTTTGTATTTAAATTATTGTGTGAAAGTTGTAGCATGCACTGGCAGATCGAATCATTTTGTGAAACACCGGATTATTTATTATAACTTTTATGGTTTATTTCAAGTTTTGTAGTGCATTGATTCGTTTTGTGAAAGTTTCATAATATGTAGTTTCATTGATTAGTTTATTTTGTGTTTTGGATGTATGTTGTCATGTAGTTTCATTCATTCGTTTTGTGTTTAAAATGTAATTTGTCTTAGTAAATCATATGTTTGGTTGTTTTTTTGAGTAGAATGGACTGTGAGTCTGTGATTAGCAGATTTTCTGGTAAATAAAGGTTTAGTTGTGTAAATAATGGTGCAGCAGCTTGCTTAACACAAGAGCCGCCACTTGGAGTGACGACTTTCATACAGCAGTATAAGAGCTGCCACTCCAAGTTGCGGCTTTTCTTAACCGTGGTTAACCTAGCAGTATTTCGAGAATTATTCTTAACCCGGCAGTATTTTGGGAGTTGTTTGAAGAATTCAATTGTGAGCAACATCCATGAAACTTCCTCCATGTGCAAGTATGTCTCTGGGAAGTTTCCTCACACCAAGCAACCACCTTCCTCACACCTCCATTGAAGCTTCTCCTAAGCTTCCACCCATCTTCCTCCCACCTTCTTAGTACCTAGTTTTGGTGCTATAAATAGAGAGCTTGGAGAGTCTTTCTATCATCAAGTAAATTAGAATAGATCATCATAACACAACCAAGAAGAGTTGTGAATATCCTTGAGAGATATGTGAGGTGTTGTTTTGAGAGTTTTAGTTAAAGCTTGTATGTCTCTTCTTTCTATTCTTGAAAGTAATAGAAGCGTTTTTCTCTCATATTAGCACGATCCTGTTATTCCCAACATTGTTTATTTAATTAGCATTGGGAAAAAACTCTGTTTAATTGCAATGTCTTGATTAATTTATATGGACAATGTATGATACATTGATACCTTTTACGGTAGAATCTGGCAATTTGCGGAAATTATTGGATTTATATACATATATACACGATTTAAACGAGATCGAATCCTTCCATATTCAATTCAATTAATCATCAATATTAATGCTTGATCGATTGAAGTAAATATTCGGACGTCGCATTTGATGTTCCTTGATTATTTGCTCCTCCTTATACGTAGGATAACGAATAATACCATCAACAATTTGTATTCCGGTGCCGCCGCTCATTAGCTTATTGCTCTCCGCAATGGTAAACGGATGATTCATCCCATTTTGCCCATGTGGCGGCGGCCGATGTTGGTAGTCAACTGAGCTGCCGTCTTGCCCGTCGCCGCCAAAACCGTGCACGTCATCATCGTAACATTGTTCTTTGCTTTGTTGGTCGGAGTTTACCGGCTTGAAAGCAACGCTACTATATCCGGCATGGTGCATCTTGTCATCAATGAAGTGACCGCAGTCACGGCCGCCGCCGATGTGAGGGATAGGCTGCGGGTTGTCAACTCCCGCCGCCGCCGTGTTGCACTGCCGTGTTTGGGCAGACGACATATAATAGTTAAAGAAATTGTTCAAAATAGAACTAAAGCATAAACCAAATTTTAAAATAGGATAATAACTTAATAAGTATGTGTGATTTATATGTTTTCTTCATCTCAAAATAGAATCTTTAATCTTTAAAATAGGAGTGCATGAATCATATTTAGAAAATTTTCTCCAATAGTTAAGAGTAATAATTAATACTAGTATTAGGATTGGAAGTAGGGTTGGGCTCCTCACCATGTGCATGCTCCTAGATGAGCCTTCCTCTGAGTATTTGGCTAATTGGTTCTTGTTGCGAGCATTAGGGCCACTTTGGAGAACCATTTTTTACGTCTTTTTTTCTTCTTCTTTAAAATATATAGAGGATTAGTTTTGTTGAATTTATAAGGTTGGTAATTGGATTCCTAAAGAAGACGAGAATGAAAGAGACTTCTTTGTTAATTATTCTTCTCATAAATGGATGCTCCATTGACTGGTCGTAATATTATACAAACACCCACCTAAACTTATACATTTGGTATATATTCTTCTAGGAAATAAAATTCCCAATTTAATTACTTTAATAGCATGTCAAACCTAGGGCTGAACACGGATCTGGGATTTCCCGTACCATACCGAGAACCGTCCCGAACTGTACCAGAACCGAGCGTACCGAAAAAAATACTCCGTATAATATTGTACCGTACCGTACCGATCGAACATTTTTAATAATATGGTATGATACTAGTTCTTAGTGAGAACCGTCCCAAAAACCATATTGAACCATACCGTCCCAAACCGTCCCGTAATGTCCCAAAATAATCGCTATAGAAAATAGTATATTAATTAAGGAGTATATTATATACTGGTATTATATTAGTTTATTAATCTACATTTTGATTACTCAAAACTTTGGACCCCAATACAATTATACTAAATTTTAAGGAACACTTAAACATACGGGTACTAGATGCCATCTGAAGGCACCAGTTTAATGGCTATTGCTACAAATTAAAAGGAATTCTTAGCCGCTGATCGAGGTTCAATCCCTTGTGACGTTCCCAGTTTTAATTTCTATTAAAAAATATCCTTGGAATTTGAACACTTAATAGTTTAAAAAGTATTCTTGTGAAAATTACATTTATTTGGGAAATAAGTGTGTATATACTCCTTATCATTTTAGGGTTATTTACATGTCCATCGAGACTTTCAAGTCGTTCATTTAAACTTTAAACATGACTAGTGAGATTATATTGTAGGGTATCAAAAATTCCGGCGCCACCATCGTTAATGGTTTCCTTCTTCCAAAAGAAAAATTAGTTGTGAATTACTCATATATATAGAAAAACGGAAATTGACTCATATAGGAGTAAAAGTTTAGCAAAAATCCAAAAGGGGAGTACTCTTGTTTGATTCCCCAAATAGGAGCTCTTTCCTCCTACTCTAAAACATACGTACATTTTCGTTCCAAACTTACCCATGTGTTGTTTACGCACACGACGCGCGCTAACCATTTTTTTCTTCGTTTCCCTCTGTAGTTACTCCATGACTGTTATGCAAGTCTCTCGCGTCAACCGTTTCTTCCGCTCTGTTTCCTTCCATATTTAGAGATTTCTCTGCAAGTCATACCAAACCCAAATTTCCTTCATCTTTTCTTCTTGGATGGCTATCCTTGCTTCATTTAATGCCTTACACTCAATCTGGTAATACTCACTCTTTGTATTTTTCTAAACGTCCACAATCACTCTTTGTACTTATTGAGTTGACCTGAGCTGTGGGTGAGAAGTAGTGAGACCTGAGTTGGAACAGAGAAATAACAGTGGTATCAGAGACGGGAGAGGTCTGCCGCCGCCACGCCGCCGCCTGCCGCCACCGTACGCCGTCGCCGGAGGTCCAGGGAGGTCTGCCAGAAGCCTCCAGCCGTCCAGAAGCTTCAGGGAGAGTGCTGTCCAGTCTGTCGGCGTCCAGGGAAGCCTGTTGCCACCGGTCCAGCTTCTGCCGCCGCCCAGGGAGCGCCGCTGCCGCCTTCCAGCTTCTGCCACCGAGCCCTACAGCAGCCCACGCTGCCTACGGTAAGTCGGGTAACCCAACCTCGGGCCCCGCTCAGGTAAATTGGCGATAAACATCCTTGGTGTACCGGAGTGCCACCGGGTTTATTTTTCCCCGCTGCCCGCTGCTGACCTACGTGGTCTTGGATGCCGGCTGTGTCCGGCCCCTGGTACGTTTACTAATCCTTTTGTGTGATTTTTTATTCGTAGTTCATTCATTTTTAATTCCAAGTTGAATTGCTCTTTGCTTGTTAGTTGAATTGTGATTGCTTGTTTGTTGGTCCGTGGATTAATTTTCCGGTGAAGAATATTTTGTTTGGATACTCGTTGTCCAAAGTTGTGAATATTTCTTCCGGTTTAAATTTAATCCGTTTGGATTTTGTTTTTTCTGTTGATTGATTTGTGGATTTATTTTCCGGTTAAGAGTATTTTGTTTGGATACTTGGTGTCCAAAGTTGTGAATATCTCTTTTCGGTTTAAATTTAATCCGTTTTAAGTTTTGATTTTTCTGTATTGATTCGTGGATAAACTCTCTGGTTAAGAATATTTGTTTGGATACTTGTTGTCCGAATTTGGGAATATTTCTGTCTGGATTAGTTTTAAATCCAGTTTCTTTGCCTATTGATTTAATTTTAGCCTATTTGTGCTTGTACGAAAGAACAAGGAGATTGTACCCCGAACTTTGTGTTCATTGGTCTTCTCGGCTTGTTCGTGCTAGTTGCTTCGTACAATTGATAGCCCTATAGGTTATAATTAATCATTTATCTGTCTGTTGAGTAAATAAAAATTTTATCTGTGCTTGTACGAAAGAACAAGGAGATTGTACCCGAGCCTTGTGTTCATTGGTCTTCTCGGCTTGTTCGTGCTAGTTGCTTCGTACCGGTTGATAGCCTGATAATTTTTTTTTATTTACTCTCTTGCGTGTTGTGCTTGCTTTCGGTTAATATGGCTGTCAATCAATATGGCATGCTTCCATTTAACGGAAAGACAGATTTTGATATCTGGAAACAGAAAATCAAATGCGTGTTGATCCAACAGAAAGTCTATAGAGCTGTGACTGGTCTCTATTTAGACTCTGAGGATGCTGCTAAGCGCGTTGAGATGAATGAAACTGCTTGTTCCTCTATATACCTGAACCTTTCTGATTCAGTGCTCAGGAAAGTGGGTATTATAGATTCCGCGAAGGATTTGTGGGACAAGTTGGATAAGCTGTATACCGATACTTCTTTGCCTGGTAAATTGTTTTTGCTTGAGAAGTTCTTTAGATTTAGGCTCGACCTGTCTAAGGACATAGATGAGAACCTAGATGTGTTTAACAAGCTTATTCAGAATATTAAGCAAGCCGGTGATAAACACATAGATGACTACACACCCATAGTGTTACTTAATGCCATCCCTGACTCATACAATGACGTCAAATCTGCCATAAAGTATGGTAGAGACGATATCTCGTTAGATATAGTCGTTAATGGATTAAGGAGTAAGGAGTTAGACCTTAGACACTCGAGGGGTAGTAACAGTCAGTCTAGGGACTCTGGTGAAGCGTTGTTTGTGAGGGGTAGGTCTAAGAGTAGATCTAGAAACCATCATTGCAAGAATCATAAGAAGGGCAACAACGATAAGAACAAAAACAATGACCCGGGGAAGAAGAGAGGTAAGTCTAAGAAGAGAGTGTGCTATAATTGCGGTAATTCTAGTCACTTCATTAAGGATTGTACCCATCCGAAGAAGTCTGAACATGCTAATGTGGTAGATGATAATAACTTGCATGAAGAAGTTTTTATGATTTGTGATTCTGCCAATTCTGTGTTGAGTAGCATGACTGAAAATGAGTGGTTGATTGACTCTGGTTGTACTTATCATATGACACCTTTTAGATCCTTGTTTGCTTCTTATGATTCTTGCAATGATGGTTTTGTGTCTCTTGCTGATAATAAGAAATGCAAAATACATGGGGTGGGTGATGTATGTTTGAAGTTTGATAATGGGACTGTGTTTACTATGAAAAATGTGAGGCATGTTCCTGATTTGCGTCATAACTTGTTTTCTGTTGCTGCTTTTGAGGGTAGTGGGTTAGAGGGTAAATGGGGTAATGGGTGCATGAAAGTTTTGAAAAATTCCCTTGTTTTGTTTAAGGCAAAAAAGGTGAATAACTTGTATGTGTGTCATGCTCAGCCTTTCTGTGATTCTGCTCATGTTGTTAGTCCTGATAAATCTGCATTGTGGCATAATAGATTAGGACACATGAGTAATAGGGGTTTAGAGATTTTGCATAAATCTGGTTGTTTTGGTAAGGATTCTGTGTCCCCCATCCCCTTCTGTGAATCTTGCGTGTTAGGCAAGCAGCATAAGGTTACATTCCCCTCCTCCCCATATCCTAACCCTACTAAGTGTACCTCTGTGTTAGAGTATGTTCATGCTGATGTGTGGGGTCCTGCTAGTGTCTCTACCCACGGGGGTAAGAGATATTTTCTGTCTATCATTGATGATTTTTCTAGGAAGGTGTGGGTCCGTCTCCTTGAGCATAAGTCCGATGTCTTTGTGAAGTTTAGGGGGTGGAAAAACCTTGTAGAAAATCAAACTGGTAAGAAGGTCAAAACCCTTAGGACAGATAATGGTCTAGAGTTTTGCAATAAGGATATGGACCAACTGTGTGTTGATTGTGGGATTAGAAGGCACAAAACTGTGCCCTATACTCCCCAACAAAATGGGATAGCCGAGAGGATGAATAGGACTGTTCTAGATAAGGTTAGGAGTATGCTTGCCACCGCCGGTTTGTCTAAAAAGTTTTGGGGTGAAGCAGTTAACACTGCTGTCTACTTGATTAACCGGTCTCCTTCTGTTCCCTTGGGTGGAAAGTGCCCTGAATCTGTTTTTTCAAACAAACCCCTTGATTTGTCTAATCTTAGAGTGTTTGGGTGTGCAGCGTATGTGCACCAACAAGGTGACAAGTTGGATCCTAGGTCTAAGAAAGGAGTCTTCCTAGGTTATCCCGAGGGTGTGAAGGGGTACAGGGTTTGGGATAGGAACCAGGTAGGTTTCAAAGTTGTGGTGAGTAGAAACGTTGTTTTCAATGAATCCGAGTTTCCTTGTCTGGTTAAGTCAGTTCCTGATTCTGAGTCTGATCCTAGTAGTACACCCGTTGAGGTGGAGTCCATACCACGTGCTGCTAGCCCTTTGTTTGCTAATCATGATAATGTTGTTTTGCATGATTCTAATTCTTCTGAATTGCATGATTCTGATTCTTCTGAGCATGATGCTACCACCACTTCGAGTGAGGTGGAGCATTCTCATGTGCATTCAAATGACAATGAATCGCATGATGAGAGTGCGGATGCTAGTGAGAATGATTTGCATGATTATCAACTTGCTAGAGATAGAAGTAGGAGAGTAATTAGGAGAACTGCTGATAGAATTCCTGATTATGCTTTCCATATGTGTGATACTTCTATGTTTGCTTTCTCTGTGTTTGAGACCCTTGAGCTTAACGAACCTAGAACCTATAGAGAGGCCCTTAAGTCTAATGAGTCCGCTAAATGGCTTTGCGCCATGGAAAGTGAGATGGAGTCACTTAGAGCGAATAAGACTTGGACGTTAGTTCCTAGACCGCCCAATAGTTCTGTTGTTGCCTGTAAGTGGCTATTTAAGGTTAAGGAAGAGCCTAACGACATTAGATATAAGGCTAGGTTAGTAGCTAAGGGATTTACTCAAAAGGAAGGTGTTGATTATGCTGAAATCTTTGCTCCTGTAGTTAAATTTACTACGATTCGTATGATGCTTGCTCTTGTTGCTCATAATGATTGGGAAATGAAGCAAATGGACGTCACCACTGCGTTCTTGCATGGTGATTTAGACAAGAAAATCTATATGTCCCAGCCTGAGGGCTTTGTGGATCCCATGAAGAGTGATCATGTGTGTTTGCTAAGGAAGGCCTTGTACGGCCTGAAGCAGTCCCCGAGGCAGTGGAATATCAAATTTGACCAGTGCATGTCATCTTTAATTTGAAATTTCACAAGTCCGAATGCGACCATTGCCTATACTTTAAAAATACTTCTTCTGTGCCTGTATTTTTATTGCTATATGTGGATGATATGTTGATTGTTAGTCCTTCGGGTGACGCCATTAAATGTGTGCAGAAGCGTCTCAGTGAGAACTTTGCTATGAAAGACCTAGGTGATGCCAAAAGGATCCTAGGCATTAACATTGTTAGGGATAGGAGTAAGCGTGCGTTAGTTCTCAATCAGATTTCATACATTGAAAAGATTTTGAGTAAATATAACATGCATTCTGCTACTCCCATTTCTATCCCGATGGCGTCTCACTTTGTGTTAAGTAAGGATCAGTCTCCTAAGACTGCTCCTGAAATTGTTAAAATGAAATCTGTGCCTTATTCCAATGCTATTGGGTCCGTGATGTATCTCATGGTGAGTACTAGACCCGACATTGCCTATGCTGTTAGTTGCTTAAGTAGGTATATGTCTAATCCTGGTTTAGATCATTGGAATGCTCTTAAGTGGTTGCTTAGGTATTTGAAATCTTCTGTTAATCATGGGTTGGTTTTCACTAGGTGTTCTGAGGGGGTTAAGTTGAGTGGGTATGTGGATTCTAATTTTGCTAATGATAGAGACAATAGGAAATCCACTACCTCTTATGTGTTTACTCTTTGTGGGTCTTGCATTAGTTGGAAGTCTCAACTTCAACCCATAGTTGCCCTATCCACCACTGAGTCGGAGTATGTGGCCGCTACCGAAGCGTTTAAGGAAGCCATTTGGCTTAAACGTCTCCTAACGGAGATTGGTAGTCTTAAGCAGGATATTTGTGTGTTTTCTGATAGTCAATCTGCTATTCAATTGTGTAAAAACCCTGTTTTTCATGATAGAACTAAGCACATTGATGTTAGATTTCATTTTATACGTGATATTGTTAGTGCAGGTCATATCAAGTTGATTAAAATTCCTTCGGAATTTAATCCTGCTGACATGGGGACTAAATGTCTCTCGGTCGAAAAGTTGTTGTCGTGCAAACGCACGTTAAACATTGATTGCGGATAAGTTGCCTGGTGATCTTACCCCTTTTGCCTGAATATGTCTTTGTGATTATTCGGGCAATCCAGCGATGATGAGTCTCGAATTGTTTTAGAGCGTTGTGCTCTACACCACTAGGGTCCAATAAGGTGGAGATTGTGTTGGTATTGGCCCTGCATTTTCTTTAAGCCCAATTCAGCCTTGGTATACCCGGCCCATGTATCAATTAAACCGTTCAACTGCCTATCTCCTTGCCTTGCTGCGCGATTCTTACCTTCCCTTTGCGTCCGATTCTTTCCTTTCGGAGATGTGCGATTCTGGCAATTTTCTTCCCCAAGGTAAGTTACCATGTCTGATACTTGTTCTTCACCTATTTAATCGACCCGAAGGGTTGGGTTCTTTGGCCGATACCTTATTTACTCACTTCGTCCCTTCGCTCCTTTGTGGGGTTTTGCCAGACGGTTTTGGCCGGAAATTGCCTAGAGGTTGTTGCCCACTTCTCTCCTTCTGACTCTAGTGGTTGAGTTTCATCCTTTGTGGGTGAGAAGTAGTGAGACCTGAGCTGGAACAGAGAAATAACAGTACTTTCTGTACTTTCTTCTCTATTAATTTTCATGAATTACTTGTTAATACTCCTATTTTGGCAAATTCACAACCAACTATTCCTATATTTATATTTATATTTATATTTATATTTATATTTATATTTATATTTATATTTATATTTATATTTATATTTATATTTATATTTATATTTATATTTATATTTATATTTATATTTATATTTATATTTATATTTATATTTATATTTATATTTATATTTATATTTATATTTATATTTATATTTATATTTATATTTATATTTATATTTATATTTATATTTATATTTATATTTATATTTATATGTATATCTATATCTATATCTATATCTATATCTATATCTATATCTATATCTATATCTATATCTATATCTATATCTATATCTATATCTATATCTATATCTATATCTATATCTATATCTATATCTATATCTATATCTATATCTATATCTATATCTATATCTATATATATTTATATTTATATTTATATTTATATTTACATTTATATTTATATTTACATTTATATTTATATTTACATTTATATTTATATTTATATTTATATTTATATTTATATTTATATTTATATTTATATTTATATTTATATTTATATTTATATTTATATTTATATTTATATTTATATTTATATTTATATTTATATTTATATTTATATTTATATTTATATTTATATTTATATTTATATTTATATTTATATTTATGTTTATATTTATATTTATATTTATATTTATATTTATATTTAATAAAATTCATATTTAGAAATAACATTGATAAGAAGAAATAATTTCCTAGAAACAGTTAGAAGTATCTCCGCAATTTCATTCAAACAATATACAATGTATATATATTAGGAATCTATAAAAGAAAATCAAACAATTTTTAGACGTAGATTCAAATCATTCTCTTGTCGTTCAAAGCTAATTGTGTGCAACGTCACATTTTTGTGTTGGTTTTTTTTTTATATTTTAAAAAAACTTTTAAATTAATATGTGACCTTGGATTTAAAATAATTAAAATAACCGAAACTTTTGGAGAAGTGTGAAGCTATGTTGTAAAACCCGGACTGGTGAGCGACCCGGTCATGTGTCTGGGTCACGGGTCAACCCGGACACGGAGCGTCAACCCGGTCAAAGCCGGAAAACCGGTCAACGATTATACGTCTATATAATAATAATAATAAACATATAATTATATACACTCTCATTATATATTTTTATTTGTATTGTACATTTATATTATAATTTGGCATGATTTTCATTCTTAAATAAATATATAAATATATTACATAGTTTTTCTTTTTAGGGAATTGAAATTGCAATTTTATTGGTTTAAAAAATGCATTAAAATTAAAAAGGAAATTACTTTTTTTTTGGAAAAGATCGAAAACCGGGTTTTCTCGGGGTTTTCGGGTTTCTTGGGTCGGGTCCGGATCGGTTTTTTTCGGGTCAGCCGGGTTTTTCTGATTTTTGACCATTTTCGGGTTTTGAAGAAACCGAACCGGATTTTTGTCGGGGTCACCGGGTTCCGGGTCAACCCGGCCGGGTCGGGTCGGGTTTTTAAACATAGGTGTGAAGTAAACAACTCAAATTTACATATGTAATTTCTATATTCAGAACTTTATATAAAGAGTTACATACCCTAGCATCATGAGCATAAATTTTCACCATAAATTATATAACCACAACTTTTAAATTAATATGTGACCTTGGAGTTAAAATAAAATTTTATGTAAAATTTAGGGAATATAAATTATACATGTAAATTAATTGAAATATTTGTCTATTTCTACACCAACTCTAGACCACAGATCGACGAGTAATAATTTGATAATGTTGAAACATTCAAACCCTAACTTAACTAACTGTGGAGCAAAACGAATGATCAGCCCAAGATCACCATTATCCGAACGATTCAGAAGAATAGTAATAACACAAAATGAAATTAAAGCTCGATGATGGAAACTCGATCTGCTGCTAAAAGGAAAAGGCTACTATTGATCCAAACTCGCTGCCAAGGCAGCGACCGCCGCGCCGAAGACCGCCTGAGTGATCTCCCTGACGCCGTCCTCTACCACATTCTCTTCCTCCTCCCTATTAAATCCGTCGCGCAGACCAGCGTCCTCTCCCGGCGATGGAGGCAGCTCTGGTACTCCTTCCCCGATCTAGACTTCACCACCCTCAATCCCTTCACCATCCCATCGCCGCTCAAGATGGACCAACTGCACTCTTGGGTTTCCATCGAAGCTGACTCCATCAACCGCATCTTGGATCTCCGGCGGCGAAATTCCCCGATAAGGGCCCTCCGTTTCCGCGCCCACATCACCTTCTCCCGCCTCAACCGTCTCATCCGCCGTGCCGTCAACCTCGACGTCCAAGAATTGGACATCGAGGTCGCCACGGCCGACTACTTCAACTTCCCGAGGAGTGTCATATCCTGCGACACTCTAAGGGTTTTCAAGCTGAAGTCGAGATACCCCGGATTCAGGTTAGTGGTGGAGCCACCTTAGATCAAATGAGTTCACGTGAACACTCAAAATTTTGAAAAAAAACTCCGTATATTATTATACATCAATAATGTACATAGTATAAATTTAGTTCAATTATTTATTGTTCTTTCAAGTTTTAATCGTATAAAATATATGAACACAAAAAATCTAAATGACAAATCCGCCACTGATTCAGGTTCCCGCCTTCCGCCGTCATAAATGGCGGTTTCCAGTCGTTGCAGACGTTGTCGCTGTCGTTTATCATTTTAAACGACCAGCCGTCGCTTGTGAACGTGTTCACGGATTCCTCGTTTCCCATGCTGAAGAAGCTGAACCTGGACAGGTGCAAGGGTCTGATGCATCTGAGCGTGAGTTGCCGGGCGTTGGAGGAGTTAGGGCTTGAGCAGTGTTGCCAGATGGAGCGTTTGGAGGTGGTGGGGCCCAAACTGGAGAGGCTGCGGGTGGTAGAATGTTTTGACTCGTACAGCAGAAATGAGAGTTGGGTCAAAATCGATGCCCTAAGACTCCAAAACATTCTCTGGTCCGACAATACGCTCACCGATAGATGTTGTTTACAGAATTTAGGGTTTCTCCGGGAAGCGTTTGTCGGCTTCTTTATCCTTTCTGACGACCTGAGTGAAGTCAAACTTCAAAGTGTATCCCATTTTTTGTCCGGCATTGCCTCTTCTCGCTCTTTAATACTTGATTATCTCTCTATCCAGGTTTGTGTATATCTTAATTGTTTTTCTAAATTATACTCCGTACTTTGTATTTAGTCAAAGTATGAAATTGTTTAGCATTGTTTGCTTACTACTACGTATGTAGGATTGCTCATTCTGCCTCCCATAACTTAGTCAATTTTGATGGGGACGCATGATGAATAAGAGCCATGCTTGGTGTACACCTTTTTATACACACCTTTATGACATCTATCTGTCTAGATAGACAACTCTATGAGACTTTACAGAGTTGTCTGTATACAAACAACTCTGTCTGCGTATGCAAACAAGTGTGTCCCAATGTGATCACAAAAACGTGTACACCAAGTATTTTTCAATAAATATTCAAGTTTCTAGACAAAAATAATAATAATCACAAATCAATAACTTTCTATTCAAAATAGAAAGTTGTTATGTATTTGGGAGAACTATAAAAGAAGTAGGGAGTACCAAATTTACATATATATGGGACATCTACTAGAAGATAAGAATTCTATTCATATACGAGTATATAATTAAGTGTGCTCTAAACCTCTCTTTTAGGAAACTCGTGAAGGGTGAGTTGAAGAATATTGACATATTGTGGCCGGTTTAGGCGTTCGATCTGATTGGGATGAATACTGACATATTGTGGTTTAGGGGTTCGATTTGATTAGGATGAATATTGACATATTGTGGTGTAGGTGTTTGAAATTTTGAGTTAGCTAGGTCTAATTTATTACTTTGACTATTTCCCTAAGATTTAATAAAAGTATTACAAATCAAGCCAAGTACGTGTTTCTATGGTATCAATGCAAATTTTTGGGTGCATGTTCATTCGCCATATATAGTGTTAATTTTAGAAACTATTAAGAAAGTTGGAAATCAGTGGACTAAGCTTGTGCAATGAGAGAGAAAGTGAGGACAAATGCTATGAGTCATACATTCTTTGTCAAAAAGGGAAAAATGAGTTTATATTGGCACGGACGGAAAAGGAAACAATGAAGATGATATTGGGACAGAAGGAGTAGATAAAAAGGCTAGGATATAGTACGGAGTAGTATATTACTATATACGTACATACTACGTAGTATTATGTAAAGTTTAATTTGATTTGGATGAATTTGTAATGCTAGACATGCAATTTTAAATAACAAGGAATGTATAGTAGCTCCAAAGAATTGTTTTCATTTTGTAAAATTTGCATGCAGATTCTGTCAAGAAACAATCACATTGCTGGTGTTTCATTGTGCGGTTTCAACAAACTGAAATCCTTGGAATTGCGCACGGGATTAAGCAAGCATATTATTCCGGAATTAGCGAACCTATTCAGGGGTGCTCCAGCCATCCACACGCTTATAATCAAGATTGAAAGAAGTGTTAGTTCGTTTCTACTTTCTCTTAATTAATGATTGACATACTTACTATTTCCTTCAAAGACTTCAATTCTTCGGCGGGGTTGTTTCAATTGAAATGACTGAATCTGTTGAATTTTCTAACATTTGTTTCCTAAAAACAAATCAGGGCCAAAGTGATTCTTGATGACAACCATTTACTTATAAAGTCAATGTGATTATATTCGATTTAACTTAAAGCGATCTTATTTAATTTGTTAAAATTCAGGGTTTCATCATAAAAGGTGAACCTGATATGAAGAGTAGTTCAAAGTTTATACAATGTTTTATTGTTGTATAACATTTCGGTGTGGGACAAATACTTTAACATTATTTAATTTCAGATGTGGAAGACGGGGCAAAGGCATGTATCAAGCAGATCAGTGGGAGAAGAATATTGGGAATCACAAAGAGAAGGCATGAAGGGCTTTTTGGAGCATTTAGGGGTTGTGAAGATTCATGGAGTGACGGAGTGCGAGAATGAGACGATAAGCTTCGTGAAGTTCGTCTTGAAGCATGGAAATGTGTTGCAAGAATTGTTGCTATATGGAAAAAGACGACGCAAATCGTGGGATTATTCTCTTGTGCCCGAAAAACTCAAATCCCAAATCTTGGGATTTTCACGTGCTTCTTGTAATGCCAAGATTGCATTTTACTAATCTAAAACCATTCCTGATTTCCAAATGAGTGATCAGATATTAATTGGTCAATGAGATACTACTGTCATCTAATTTGATCTCCACACAAATTTGTGCTCGAAACAAGAGTATAGTCATACATACAAAGGTATCAAGTTTATCTTCTAGATACTTCTTAAAGTAAAATATGTTTAAACATTAATCTTAAACGTGACATTTGAACGGATAATTATAAAAGTGATTGATCGCTCGATAAGGAGGAAAGTTTCAGTTTGGTACATCAAGTTGTAAGCGGAGGAGTAAAGAGTACACTAAATCCCCAAAACAGTGCTAATTTAGTCCATCAAGCTATTAGGGAGTTTAAAACGCCTAGGTGGCAAGTATTAGCCTAAATGGTGGTGCCAAGTCAGCTTGAGTAGGTGACCTCTGACCTGGGCGTGACCATTACCTTAACCCGACTCGGTGACGTCGGCCTATTCACAAAAACGTCCTCCATGAAGTGAGCTTTGAAAGGTCTGCTTTCTTCAACCCTAAGGATCACCAATGGCTGGGAGAATGAGAGCGCGAGCAGATGCAGCAGTCATGCACTTAGTGGAGACGAAGAACGCCTGGAGAAGCTGCTCCGGCCATGTCGTGTTCCAGTTTAAATGATCAAACAAAAAAAAAGACAAAAAGAGAGAGGGAAGAACGAGCATCGCTGGAGATTCAGAGAAGGAACGAACGCCTCAAAAAAGGAAAGAACGCCGGAGCACCGTAGCTATGCTCGCCGGACCGTTTCCACGTTGGAGAAGAGAACTTAACCGTCATCACCGGGGAGCTGAACCGTGCCTACGGAGTCACCGATATGTGAACGAGTGACATTCATGTTATTTCCATATTTATATTTGTGCTTTTAATTAGTTTAGATTGATTTGTACGTCGGAAATTACACACTTTTGGTGTAATAGTTAAGTTTGTAAAATGTTTGTAAATTGTTTAGATTAGGTTTATTCTGAGCTCAAACAGGTCCAAGATCACTCTAGGGACCATTGGTGAACATCACAAGTGGAAGGAAGGTGCAAAAATTCCAAGAAAAATGAAGATCCTGATTTTTGGTATTGTACCCGGTCGAGTATGCCCTATACTCGATCGGGTAAGTCGCTGAAAAATCAAATCGGATCAACCCGGGAACAAGGCAACATGCAGGGGAGATTTTGACCACGATCGAGTGTCCATACCCGATCCGGTGGCCGACATACCCGATCGGGTATGCACCAGTTTTTTACACTTCTGCGCAGCAACCGAGTACCCGATCGAGTGCCCTTACAGCCCGATCGGGTACACGACCCTACAAGCCTAAAAAGCCTATAAATACACCCCATTTCCTCCACAATAAACCACCAATTCCTATATACTTCTAAGCTGAGTTTAGACAAGTTATTTCTTTATATTTTCTTCATGTTTAGTCTCCAAATGAGGAGCTAAACTCTTCCATCTTGGTTTTGCTACTTTGAAGCTTAATGAATTGTAAGACTCAATCGTTTTCATCTTGATTTTATTGCTACTATCGAATGAATATACGGCGCGTGTTCTATATTGATTCGGTAGTAAGTTTTATTAATGAACGCGTCTCGTTATTAATAACTACCCTCGATGAATTGGATATACTCCTCGATTGAGTATTCGAGAGGAAGATAGTTAAAGATATAACCGGGATCGACGAACATTTCATTAAGTGGATAAAAGCAAAGCCAAGTCTTCTTCTCATTAATTAAACCACATAACTCGTTCATCTTTGTGTTTAAATATAATTTAAGTTCATAAACCAATCATAAAAACCCCCCTTGTTACTTATTTCTAATTCTATAAAAAGAGAAGTATTTCTTTCCCTGTGGATACGAACCTTACTACACTATACTACGTATTAGTGTCGTATTGATTATTATTTTGAGTGCACACTAAGACAAAGTGCACGTCAACGAGAGAGACCAAGACTGCAGTATCTGCTTCAGAGAAGAAGGAATCTGCGGGAGTGCCGTTTCGGCTTCGGAAGAGTTGCAGAGTCACGCACCAAATTGATGCTACATGAACCGGAGGAGGTCTGTAGTACAAGTCGCCACCTTGGACGGATTTTACCCCAACTGTAGTTGTGCCGCCGTGACCATCGCATCGCTGAAGGCTGAAGCAACCCCTGCGTCACCAGCACTACGTGAGAACAACGAAGAACAAAGCTACAGTACATATATATGGATTCCACATATATACTACCTCCGTCCCATTTATATTGTCCCGGAAGAGGGCGGCACGATTATTAAGAAAAGTGGGTTTGTGTGGTTGATATTAATTGATAAAGTAAGAATAAAGTAAGAATGATTTAGAGCCACACAAACTTTGCCAAATATGGTATGGGACAATTTAAGTGAGACTTTCCGAAAAGGTAAAACGGGACAATATAAATGGGACGGAGGGAGTATTCCATACTGCGTTAATGTTTACCGTATTAGTTTGGGCCACTAGGCTGTAGTTTATAAATCGGACCTTTTAAGTTGCACTAAATGAGATTAATATAATACATAAATGAAGTATTATGGACTTATCAGTAATCCGTCTGCCACCTAGGCGTTTTAAACACCCTAATAGCCAGATGGACTAAATTAGCACTGTTTTGGCGATTTAATGTACATCTAAATCCCGATTGCACAATGATGTACTCTTTACTCCCCCGCTTACAACTTGATGTACCAAACTGACACTTCTCTCGCTCGATAAGCATCTTATATGCATATAGTCGAAACATTTTGGTCATTCTCTGATTACATGAGCAATATATCTATGTGACAAGCAAGTAAGGTTAAATGGCATGATCATGCACAAGTTAGTGGTTAGGATTAGTCTTATTGAAAGTTAAGGAACATAACATAATAACAAGGAAAACGTGAACATAATCTGGTCTCAATCGATACATATGTCGTTTGACAAAAGAAAATTAATTAGTAGACTAAATCATTTAATGTATTTTATCAGATTTATTAAACATTTATCTGAATTTTGTAACCATAATGCTATTAGGTCAATGTTAGTAAATGAGGGTTTTGACCTATAAAACCTTCGTTTCCTCCTCTCGTTAACCATCCAATGAAGCCATGAAATATAGATATCCACTACAAGAATTCCGCAAAATAGTGGCCGAAATTAGTGTTTAACTGAAGCCCGTCGGTAACTACTAACGGAATACGGAGACATAATTTTGTCTGCCAGCATTTTGTGGAGGAAATCGGTCGTCAGTAATTTGTGAAGGAATGTAGCGAGGGATCGTTTCTGACGCAAAATAGTGAAAGATTTTAGAGGATGATATATGTCATCGATAAATAGTGGCATAACGTTTCCGTAAATAAGATGCGTAAAAATTAAAATGCAAATATGCATGATATGGAACATTTTGGTTATTTGAATTTCAATTGTTACTAATTACTTAAAATAGAAAATTTAAAGATGTTTTTATTTGTAACATATATACATTGATAATAGCAAATATTTTGAAGAACGAAAAAAGTAGTAAGCATTTTAATTTTTGAATTAATTAGTTTCTTCAAATAAGATGCAACATGTGTTATTAATTTTTATATTTAGATTTCAACATGAATAAGGTCATGGATATGATGTATGAAATGCTTGAGAGACGAGGATTTCTAAATGAAGATTTTAAGGAAGGTGTTAACGAGTTCATTCAAAGAGCGGTAAACTTATATGGTTATACCCCAATAATGGTGTGATAGCATGTCCTTGTAGAAAGTGTAAGAACTCAAAAGTGGTTGAATTGGGATATTGTTAAGCAACATCTATTTGAGAAAGGTTTTGTTGAAGATTACTATGTATGGGTAGCACACGGGGAGATATACACTTCAAATGGGTTAGTTTATCTAGATCACGCAAGCTCATCTCATGGCAATGTATTTGAGGTTCAATATGATGATCCATACAAATCGATGTTTGAGGATGCAGTAAGGAATGAACTTCCAACATGTAATGAAGATGGCATTCATGTGCAGCATGATGATGAGCCTAGTGCAGTGGCAAAGAAAATGTACGAAATGTTGGGCATGACTAGTCAACCGTGTTTTGATGGTTGTCCAATGATTCACTTGAGCGCAATGACTGAAATTTTGAACATAAAGACTGAGATGAATTGAGGCTGCAAAAGATAGAATTGCTCAATTTGTGAATAGGTTCTTCCCAACTGAAATCCCAAACAAGCCCATACTAAATTTTAATAAAATAAAAAAGGAAATTATCGAAGTTAGGAATGAGAAGCCATCTATTGATTGTTGGCCAAAGGGGTGCATGATCTACTAGAAAGGGGACAACGAGCTAATGAAGTGTACGTTTTGCTTTGGTGTATAGGGTCAGTAAAAAAACTTAAAAAATCAATTCTATTTGCAAGAATGGAGTATTTCCCGCTTACTCTTAGATTACAAAGACTGTGTGCATCAGATTCTATAGCGGAGAAAATGAGGTGGCATAAAGTTCACCAAAGGGAAGAAGGGGTAATGCGTCATCTGTCAGATACAAAAGCTTGACAATATTCATTTTGATTTTGGTGAAGATCCAAGAAATGTTAGGCTTGGTTTATGAACAGATGGCATGGGTTTCAACCATTTGGACAATTCAGACAGAAATACTTTGGTTGACCTGTAATCGTTACACCATACATGTAACACCATCCCCAAGTATATTTACTTTTATGTAAATTATGTATTGAACCTTATGAAAAGGTTAATGAATTTACGAGGTTGTAAATTTCTGTTAATTCTTTTGCGTGAATAGTAAATTTGCACGTGGGGCCCACACCGGGAGCGGGGACTACCCGATATTCCCGAGACCACATATGTTATTCATCTTGGTATAGATAATAGTTATATGGTGGTGGACATTCATGTTGGGCCATGAGAAAGGCATTGGTTTGACCGATTGGTCAAACGAGGCCCAATTACCAATTTTGGTGATTTATCGGATAACAGTCCAAAATGAATTTTGGAGACCTTTAAATTAAAGTTGGGGAATTTATATTCATTATAAATTCCCGTAATGATTGAGGACATACTATATATTTTATTTGACCCGATAAAATAAAATATAGTTAAAACAGTCCGAGAAATACAACTTTCGGGGCCGAAT